TAAATAGAAAAAGATGTAACAGATTGTAATTTGCTATAAAATATACTCTCCTAAACGGGCACCGCAAGTTGATGTAAGTTCATACCAATCAAAAGATGCCTGATATTAGTAAGATATAGCACAGCATTCAAAAGTGAACTGGAAATGTTTCCCATTAGAGAATTAACAATCAAGGAAGGCACAAAGTACAAATGTATTGTCACAAATTTACAAATCAACCCATATCTTACCTCTGCATGTTTTTTGGCTTATGCAGAAAATGTTTCACATTTTGTGCTGTCTTTCTGATTGTTTTGTGCAGAGGATGTACGAGTCATCCCAAGTTAACTTTCTTTGCCATTCCATAACTCAACAGAGATCCAGCTCTGCAAAATTTTCAATAAAAAAACTTTCCAAAGTGAAAAACTAAAAAAAGGGAGTATGAGAATAGAAATGTATAGACATTGGGCATTTCTCCTTTACTTTTCCCACACTTATCAAAATTCTGCCAGAACCTTATGTAACGGGATGGAGAATGCTCCCGGCGGACAGCAAGGACAGATGCGCTCGCATACTTACCACGCCATACTGGCCTCGCTGTTCTGTCCCAGCCGCCCGCCCCAGACTTTGTCCTGTACTGCCCGCTGCTCCTACACCAGCACCTCGCGCGCGCTACCCCGGTGTGCCGAGGTGCCCCTCTGCGCGTGCTGCCACCACGCCAGGCCCGAGTGCCCCAGCGGCATGGCGGGCATGGTGGGCCCCCGTCGGGGCTGGGGCCGGTGGGGGGCCCCGTGCGCGACGGGGGGTGGGAACAGCGGGGCCCCTAGTTACGCCCCTCCGGGCGGCCCCAGCGGCGGCCCCAGCCCCATGTGGTGGTGGTGGCCCGTGGTGTGGCCCATGCCCAGGTGGCCCATGCCCATGTGGCCCAGGTGGCCCCCGTGGTCCACGTTGGGCGCCATGTGCGGCGGTGGCGGCTGCACGCGCACGCCCGCCGCCGCCGTGGCCGTCGGGGCGGAGGCGGCCGTGTTCCAGCGCGGGCTCATCTCGTCCAGGTCGCGGCCCTTGGTCTCGGGCACGCAGCACACGACGAAGCACAGCCCGCACACGGAGATGGCCGCGTACAGCCAGAAGGCGCCGTGCAGGCCCAGCGCCTGCTGAAAGTCCACGAACGTCTTGACGCCCACGAAGGCGCACGCGTAGCTGAAGCTGGTGGCGAGCGAGGAGCCGGCGCCGCGGTACTGCAGCGGGAACAGCTCCGAGATGAGCAGCCACGAGATGGGGCTGATGCCGAGGGAGAAGGCCACGGTGAAGACGAGCACGCACAGCAACGGGATCCAGTCCTGGCTACCGCCCAGCGCCGCGCCCCTGTCGCCCTGCGCGTCCATGTAGTACGCGAACGAGCCGAAGCCGGCCAGGGCCATGGACATGAACACGCTCGAGGCGATGAGCAGCGGCAGCCTGCCCACCGTGTCGATGAGCAGCCCGGAGAGCAGCGAGGCCAGCAGCTGCACGAAGGCCACGGCGATGGCGCCGCCGTGAGGGCTCATGCCGCCGAACGTCTGCCTGAAGATGGGCACGGCGTAGAACTGGAAGGCCTGGGCGCCGGAGAAGCGCTGCGGGCAGAGGAGGCAGAGATCCGTCATAGTGGGAGAGGAAGCCGTCGGAGGGTTCGGTCAAGGAGGAGCACGGTAAAAACGAGGTCTTGTTTTTCGAGGAAAGATTTCGAGCTTCAAGCAAATGCGGTAATTTCTAAGCAGAATGGACGGATGCTATGAGGACGCCTACCTGGAAGAGCATGAGCCCGCAGGTGGTGAGTGCGGGCCGCAGCATGCGGTGACTGTGCGTCATGAAGGAGGCCGGGCTCCTGGGCGGGGTGGAGTCGTCCATGCCCGACGCGCACAGGATGTTGGAGCGGATGACGGCCAGCTCGGGCCCCACGTCCGTGTCGGGGCCGCGCAGCCACTGCAGCGCCCGCGCCGCCTCGTCGTCCTTGCCGGCCAGCACCAGGTAGGACGGCGTCTCGGGGACGTAGAGCACGCTGACGAACAGCATGATGGGGGCGACGGCCACGACAAGCGCCAGCTGGCGCCAGTCGAGGTAGGCGCCTCCCAGGAAGCTCAGCAGCACGCCGACCTGCCCCACCATCTTGAGCACGGCGCTGAGGCAGCCTCGGATGTCCGGGCCGGCGATCTCACTGACGTACACCTGCGTGACGAGCAGTACGATGGAGCAGCAAAAGCCGCCCACAAAGGCGGTGACGAACATCATCTCGACACTGGTGGCGAAGACGGTCACGAGCCAGGACGCGCTGAAGGGGACGGCGGTGACGAGCAGCACCTTGCGCCGGCCGTAGCGCATCGCCATGCCGCCCAGGAGGCCGCCGAACAGCGCACCCAGCAGCGACAGCGACGCCACCCAGCTGGCCTGCTGCGGCGAGACCTGCGGACAGGAGACCAGCTCTTGGATCTGCACTCGTATGAATTAGAGACAGGGAAACAGATTGTTGTTTCAACTTCTATAAACTTTGAAAAACGTCGGTGAACTTGGATGAACTTCGGCCAGTACATCCTTTACCTTCGTTGAGGTTTATGAAAAGCATCAGTGAACTTCAGTATACCACGAAGCTCGATGAACTTTGCGACCATCGAGTTTACACACGTGAACAGTATACTTCCCCTTCCCTTGGTGGCCGAGGAGTGGCTGATGAGTGACTTACGGTGAAGCCCGCGGAGGTGCCGCCGCCGCCCCCCACGGCCCCGGCGGCCCCCCCGGGGTCGAGCGGCACTCGCTGCTGTTCCTGGAGCGAGGCGATGGCGGGCGAGCTGTAGCCCTTTCCCAAGCCGGCGGCAAACGGCCCCAGCGACACGGCCAGCGCTGCGAGCACCTGCGCGGACATGAGAGAAGACACGTTAGGGACCATCCAGGAGGTGCATGTTTAACCGTCATTCGCCGCGAACGAACCAAGGACCCGCGAAACTCAGCTTGTCCGTCCAAGCTCTCGTAGCGCCTGATAGGCAGGCAACATGTTGCCTGTAGCGCATTCGTGCACTGCGGGATAGCCTACCCCGAATTTTGCAGGCGCCTAGCTCCTAACTCTCGTAATGTGCCGAATCACCGTGTGTCGAATGAACTTGCGATACACGCGAGTCGGTTCCAGGAAAGGCAGTGACTCTTTTCGCACCCCTTTTCCATCGCTCCTGGATCCGCCGCTGCTGGCCACGGCGGTCGCGCCAAGGACGAGTGCTCGGGCCAAACCCCTCCCCTCCTCGCTCGACATGAGTGCGAGGCGCGAGCGCGCCAAATTTGAATGGAATTGATTTTTTTCTTTTCCTCCTCGCCTCTCTCGCCCCATCCCCCTCTCCCCTATACGCGGTCTGTCGCCCTATCTCTTTCTCTTCGACGCCTGCCAGCCGCCCTGGCCCCGCCCGATCACAAGGGCACATCGCACCAGCGCCGTCGCGACGTACGGGAGCGTAGGGTCGCTGCCGCCCCGCTGCCGGGGTCGGGGGGGGGGGGGACTCGGCAAGTAGATGCCTCCACCAGCCTCTCTGCCTGCGCCCATCCCCCGCTGCCGTCACAAATGACACCCCTCCACACACTCATGCCCGCCCCACCTCGCCCCACCCCGCCCGCAGTCCCATCTCGCTGGCTGCTCCGCTGCCCTCCCCGGCAATATGATTGAATAGCGTAAAATTCTCCATCTCCCTCGTGGGCTCCGCCCGGCTCCGCCCGGCTCCGCGCATCTGGAGCGCAGCTCTGGAGCCCTCTGCTCGCCCGGAGCGGCCGGAGCTTTCATTCTCCCCGGGCCAATCATTGTATTGACGTTTCCTCAGGGTCACGACGCCCCACTATATCGCAGCAGGCCGTTGGATAGCGTTAATTTCCCATACTGTACTTTATCCTCGCGGACCGAATGCACTGCGCCGCACATGGAGATACATTCTGAAAAGAAAAGGGTTTCTTTCTTTTCGCGCGGCGATGACAATTATTCATGCTCTCTCTCTCTCTCTCTCTTCCCATATCTCCATCTCCCTCCAACGCCCTCTCCTTTCTCCTTTCTTCTTTTTTAATATAAAAAAGAGACAAATTTATTTGGTGGAGTGGGTCGGGCCGCGCCGGAGGATGTGAGGCTCGGTGTGATAAGGCTCGTTGGGGGCGGCGCGGGGTACGGGGAGCGCCAAACGACGTGCCTAGATGCGTCGGGCTGGTCCGTCAGTCTATCATGGCGAGGTGAGCGAGCAAGGGGTGCTCTCTCGCTCACTCAACTTTCTCTCTTTCTCCGTACCGCAATAACCCTTCTCTCCCGCCCTCTCTCTCGCGCGCGCGCTCTCTCTCTCTCCCTCCCGCTCCACGCTATCTCGATGCATAAAACGTAAATTAGTGTACACAAACACGGCTCCGCGAAATTGTTTTCACACACTTTTTTTGGGGGGTTAAATACTGTGTACTTTATTGCATCGTGTAAGCGCGTGCCGTAAATAGGAGTGGCGCGGCGTGGCGTTGCGCCTTGCGTTTTCAAGTTTTGCTGTGGCAAGGCGGGGCGGGGTGGGGCGAGGCGGGGCGGGGAGGGGCTGGGCAAGTTGTAGAAGGCAAGGCAGTAGGGAAAGTGTTAATGGGGCGGGCCAGGGGTGCACGGCGGCGGCCCGGAGGGGGCTGCTGCTGCAATTTGAGGCCCTCTCGGAGGGAGGAGAGGGGTGGTTAGTTATTGGAGGGAAGGGGATCTTTTGTATAAGACTTGTTAACCCCGCGCGCCCCTCGCCCCTCCCCTCCCCCTTTTCTCTCTACGCTCTCCACCCCACTCTCTTTCCTTCTCCTTCCACAGCTGCGCCGGTCGGCACCAATTTTATAACTTGTTTCCGATTCGCTTCGTGTCCCTTCGCTCCCGCCGCCCCGGCCCGCTCCGTTTTGAAAATGGGTCGGGGCGGCAGTATCCCCCAAGTATTCCAAACTCCCTGCTCTGCATCTTTCTACCAACGCCCCCCTCCCCCCCCCCTTTTTTTTTTTTTTCCCCCCCCCCCCCCCCCCCGGGGGGGGGGGGGGGGGGGGGGGGGGGGGGGGGGGCTCTAAAGTAGCGGCACTACGCGAGGAACGCAAGCAAGAAGTGTATGGCAACTCTGCAAGGAGAGTTAGGCCAGGCCGGGCTGGGCAAGGCTGGGCCGGGCTGCACATACTGGGCTGCTGGGGTCGGCTGGGGCCGGCCCAGTGAGAGCGGCTGTAAGCAAGCAGCGCACGCCTGCCTGCCCCCTCACTCCCCTGATGCATGTGTAGGCTTGTTCTCCCGAGGGATAAATAGGAAGGAGTACTTTTGAGCCCGCGCTGTGCTCTCTACACCATCTGCTGCTCGTCCTGTTGGACAATTTCGCTCTGTCTGTCTGTCTGTCTGTCTGTCTGTCTGTCTGTCTGTCTGTCCCTGTCTTCCTCCCCCCCTCTCTTTCCTCTTCCC